TTGAACCGCCAGCCTTCTGGTTAGCAGTCAAGTGCTTTAGCCACTATGCTACCAGAGCAATAGGTAAAAAAAGAAGGTCATCCCATCAGAAGAACTCTGCCCTTTGGGCATTTTATCCTTGATCTTTAAGCCTTGGGTCTTTTGCCTGGTTCCCCCCGTAACATTTAAAGAAAAAGACGTGACAGCTGTTACTGGGATGTGATCCCCAGAGTATTCAGACTGCCTTACACAGTTAAAACAACAGCATTCCTAGCTTATACATAATGTGATTTCTGAATCCCTCCCTTAAATCCCAAGAACCCTTATGAATAGGATCTTTCTGAACATGACACTCCATCCAAGGATTTGAGTCTTCATTATCCATATAATACAAAATAAAGTCCAAAATAAGCAAAAGTTTAGGATATCACTATTGTGGGTTTTAAGCCATAACACTAGCTCAAACCGTAACAAGATTTTAGTCATATTTTTGTGAAAATGGTTCTGAAAGGTCACAGCCATAAAAACTCTATGGAAGGCAGTCCTACTGTGAAACACCTGGTGTCACCATGAGTTGGAATTGATTCAGTGGCAACTAGGATAAAGAAGGAAAAAACAAAAAGAAAGGTATGTTAAGAGGAGGCCTAGAAAGAGTGAGGTCGCTTGATGAGCACTGTTTAGGTGATGGCTTTGAATCTGAGGGCAAGGAAATGGAAGGCCCCAGGATTGAGGATCACTGACCTTTGTCATTCTAAAGTATTTTATTTTTGCCCTGCCCCTAGGGTTTAGTGCTGGTTTGGATGACAGCTTTGAAAACTACAAATAATGCCCATGGGCTATAACCTTTAAAACAATGACTTTTAAGTTTGTTTTGTTTTGTTCCATTTTTTTTCATTTCAGCACACCTGACGGATCCCATGCATGTCTATTAATAATGGACTTAGCAGTGATTTGAAACTAAGGTTTAGAACTGTATCAGAATCTCCCAAAGAACTGGGTGTAGTCTTAAAAAAAAAAAAAAGAAAAAGAAAACCTTACATTTCTTGTGTTGGTGGGGAAAAAAGGGGGCAGTGTGGCTGAGGGTGGCCATTCCCACTGAAATAAGAATTTAAAACAAAACTGCAGCCTCATCTAGCTCATTGGTGGTCACTCTTGAATGTGCATAAAAATCATGTAGGAAGCTCACTGAAATGTCAGCTTTCTGGGCCCCATTCCCAGAGATTCTGATTCTGTAGTGCGTTATTCAAAGCACTTCTAGAAAATTCTGAAGTTGTTAAAGGGTCTGCATTTTGAAAACTAGATTCTCAAATATTCAGCTGCTTCTGAATACAGCATCCCAGGAGCTTGGTAAGTAGCAATTTCATTGGCTTGTTTCTTGAGTCTTTAAAAACCAGTCTAAGGACCAGAAAATGTTGCATAATGCATAATTTCTCATGAGAGTTTGTTCATGTTTGCAATAATATTCATGGCTCATGAAAGAAATCACTGAACCAGTAGCTTTGATTTTTTTTTTTTTTCCGGTAGTGTATGAGGTGTTAGAATTTAGCTTTATTTTTCATGTGTCAATTGTCTTAAATATCAGACACCCACCCACAACTTTCTCACCCTGACCAACAGCTCCAGTTACCAAACCTCATGAGTCACAGCTTCTATTTCACTGTCACAGATGCTGGAAACTGATAGTCTAATATTTGAAAGCTAATTTTATCCTGAATAATGCATAGGTATTTATTATAGACTGAATTAAAGTAGAGATTTTCCTCTTTTTTCCCTTTTCATTTCATTTTCATACAGGTTCAGTATGGAATTATTCCAGATAACTTTACATTCAATATACTGATGGATTATTTCATAAAGAAAGAAAATTACAAAGGTAAGAAACCAAACCCAGGTCCAGTTGTTATGGGGCTTCCAGCTCCCCAAGAGAAGTATGTACATCCAGTGATTTTCCTCCTTTTATATCTTGTCGCATCTCTTTACTTGACTGTTTCAGTCAGAAATGTTATTGTTGTTATGTGCCTTCGAGTCAGCCCCGACTCATAGCAACCCCTCCTTAGGTTTCTGAGGCGGTATCACTACGGAAGTAGAGAAATAGATGTGTTTAAAAAAAAGAGAAAGAAATAGATGTGTAGTTGATTAACCTTACTAATTACCTAGATAGGAGACTTACACCCAATTGTTACTTTTTCCTCTAAGTTTTCTCAAGTTTATTTGTACTATTTCTTCAGACAAAGGTCAATGAATTTAGTTAAGCAATATGCCCTGCCTGAGCTTCCGTAACTCCTTACAATTTTAGTAATTCAGTAATTTACTTGACTGTTTTTGCTACAAAACAAACTTTATTTAATCACAGTTGTCATGGTATGTAAAATCTCAAACTATATAATCAGTTGACTTCCCCTGGAAAGAGATGTGCACTAGCTGTGAAGTACACAGATGATTCACCACCCTGGGCTTTAGTTTCTGCATCTGTAAAATAAATGGATAGGTGATCTCTGAGACCTCTCTACTCCCAAAATTCCCTGACCCCATAAAATTAATTAAAGTGAGTCCTAGCTTCCTGCTACAGTAGGGAATGCTGAGAACTGTGGCAGACTCTACACACTGGTGTAATGGCATCTGATTTACCCCATTATAGTATGTCCAAAAGAAGCTAAAGGCTGCAAAAGACCTAGTTTGTGGAAAAACTAGGATAGGACTCAGTTTTCACTTCTTAAATCTGTGTATATTCTACCACGCCCCACTTGTTAAGAGTGTTTGTCATTTATGGTTTAACTATAAGAGTGTTAATAGTTAAGTACAAATTTGATGGTGCTGCTTACAACTAATTTCATCTCATTTTTATTTTTATCTTCTTGCCAGATGCTTTATCAGTGGTTTTTGAGATCATGAAGCAAGAAGCCTTTGAAGTGCCTTCTACTCAACTTCTCTCCCTCTATGTTTTATACCATAGCCTGGCAAAGAAGACAGACTTTAGTGTAAGTGATCTATCTTGAAGCTTTACTGAGAGCCTCAGAAAAAGCAAGAGGTAGCTACTCCGAGTTATGAGGTGGTCAGGGGAAATGCCTGCCCTCAGAACCTGGAAAAAGATACCTGATGGGCAGCTCTCGGTAGTCGTGCATCACCAGGAACATGTGATCATACTGTATCTATACATTTAGTTACTGGTTTCCAACAGTCAAACTGGCTGTTTCTCCACTTGAGGCAACCTCAAATGAAAGTCTTTATGCACGGTTTTGAAACTTGAACTAGGCAGAGCATGAGCCACAGACATTCAGAAATGGGTAATGAAGCAGTCCAAGGTGGACATGGCATACCAAAGAAGCAGTGAGGCAGCCAACTGACTATAACCTTAGGTGTTAAATACTGATTACTTACTTTGAATCCATATTTTCCTAAGGGTTGCTCAGTGGTATTCTGAAAAGTGTAGTATACCAAGTTTTTGTTTCAGCTGTTAATTGAGGGCATGTAGTGATTTTTTTATGCAACAATAATGAATAGTAGTTACCTTATACCAAAGAGCTCTGGTGGCTCAGTGGTTAAGGTATTCGGCTACTAACCAAAAGGTCAATCAATGGTTTGAACCCACCAACTACTCCATGGAAGAAAGTCTGCTTCCATAAAGATTTACAACCTTGAAAACCCCATGGGATAGTTCTACTCTGTCCTCTAGGGTCACTTGGAGTCAGAATTTATTTGATGGCACTGGGATTTGGTAGCTTATACCAGACTGTTTTTGGTGCGTTAACTTTATTTATGCATTTACTCCTCACAACAACGCTATTCAGATTAGAAAACTGGGGACACTGATGTTACCTAGTAACCACCCACCTTAAATAAATAAATAAATAAATAAATAAAACTCACTGCCATTGAGTTGATCCAGCAAACAGTGGCACCTATTGGGTTTCCAAGGCTGTAAATCTTTGTAGAAGTAGATTGCCCCATCTTTCTTCCACAGAGCAGCTAGTGGGTTTGAACTGCTGACCTTCTGGTTAGCAACCAAATGCCTTATCCACTACACCACCTGATGAAGCCAGATAGTCTGACGCTACAGTCTGTGCCTTTAGCCTCAAATATAATATCAAAACTTCCCAGGTTTGATAGGAACTGAAAAGGTCATCACAGATGACTAACCCACAATGTAAAGAATGCATGGTATGTTTTATCTTTCTAAGATGAGTGTCACAGCCTATGATACGGCTCACATTCATTTAGCCAGTGAATATTTATTGAGCATCTACTATATTCCATCCATTGCCAGGTGCTCTTTCCACAAGGGTAAGCAAATATATGTATTTCCTGCTTACAATCTGGGAAGAAGACAGACATTTAAAACAAACATAAGTACAGGTAGTTCCCAACTTAACAACGTACTTGAGTTACAACAAACAATACTTAGGACTCTCTGGTTTGTTTTCTTGGAGGGTTGGGGGGGTGGTTTACATATTATCATGAGTAATATGTATATATGTGTATTTTAAAATATATCTATAAGTTTATATGTAACATTTCCAACTCCCAAAGACAAATAAGATTTATAAAGATACTGAAAATGAAAGGCAATAATAATAAATATTTTTTAAAAAGATATTTGCCTTACATCAGAACCAACTTAGAACAGAGTTGTTGGAACTAAACCCCATCGTAAGTTGAGGACTATGTGTATAGTATAAAATTATAGCACTTGTGAATGCTACAAAAAAAGGGGTCTATGAAAAGCCTATATTGTAGGGAGTTTCTGTTTGCAGGTTAAACCTAGTCAGGTAGGTTAGACAAGGCTTCCTTAAGAAAATAATTCTTGGTCACTATTTGAAGGATGAATAGGAATTAATTGTCAGAAAAAAAGAGAAGGATAATCCAAAAGGCAGAAATAGCACACACAAAAGCCCTGTGGCGGAAAGAATATGGTGAACAGAAAGGGACTGCAAGAAGATGACCAATATAACTACAACGGAAGAATGATAGGGAAGACGTGAGTGAAAGAAGGTTGGAGGATGTAGGCCATGCTGTGCCTTTTTGTCTTCATCCTAAAAATAAAAGCCATTGAAAAATTTTACCCAGAGAGGGTAATGTGAAGAGATTTGTGTTTTAAGAAGATCCCTTTGGCTACAGTATAGATAAGAGATTGGAGCAGGGCCAGGATGACTGTGGCTTGACCAATTAGGATACTGTCATGGTAGTCCAAGCAAGATACAGTGGTAGCATAGGAGCTAGGATGTGGTGGAGTTAAAGAGTAGCTGGAAGAAATATTTGGAAGGCAGATAACGTGATGAAGGGTTGGATTTGGAAGCAGGGAAATAGTGAAATATTCTCATCTAAGTTTCTAGCTTGTTTATCTGGATGGAAGGGATACTATTTCTTTGCAGAGGGAACCTGAAAAAGACTGAGTTTTATAAAGAAAATTATTAATTTTTCTCTGACTATATTGCATTTAAAATCCAAAACAGTTGCCACTTGTAAACATTCAAAATGGCTGTGTCCTTGGTCACTGTAAATATCCAAAATGGCCCAGAAAACACAATCTTAACTATCACACCTCTTCACTGTATTCAAAATTATAACCTATTCCAACAATGACAACTTGACATTTCGTATAATTCCTGCTTTCTCCATCATATGTAACACATTCTAACAAATCACATAACAATTATATATTTGATACGTCTTCATTTTCTTCAAAACAAACATATCTGGCACCACACTCTTTTTCTACTAGTATAGTGGGAGCTCTGGTGACATAGTGCCTCAAGCACTTGACTGCTAACCAGCCATTCCTCAGAAGAAAGGTTGGGCAATCTGCTTCCATAATGATACTGCCTCGGAAACCCAAGGAGGGAATCGCTTTGAGTCAGAGATGACTCAATGGCACATAACAACAACAACATATTGCATTTTAAGATGCCCTTGACACATTCAGAAAGGAGCTCTGGTGCCACAGTGCCTAAGACATCCGACTGCTAACCAGAAGGTTGGCGGTTCAAACATACTAGCCACTCTGCGGTGGCCATTTTGGATATTTAAAGTGACCGAGGACACACCCATTTTGAATGTTTACAAACGGCGACCATTTTGGATATTTAAAGGGACCGAGGGTGCAGCCATTTTGAATGTTTACAAGTGGCAGCTATTTTGGATATTTAAAGTGACTGAGGGTGCAGCCATTTTTGAATGTTTACAAGTGGCAACCATTTTGGATTTTAAAGTGATAGCATTCTCATTCGGATTCCGGGACCTAAGAACAGGCAGCGAGGCAGGAAACAGGGAGAGGAAAAAAAAAGGCAAAGGGGACTGGAACAGATTGAGGAGTCAGCCACAGGGACCCAAGTGAGGAGAGGGAACCCAGGCCACCACCCATAAGCAGCAAGGCAGGAAGCAGGAAGAGGACAGTAAAGGCAAAGCGGACTGGAACAGATCGAGGAGTTAGCCACAGGGATCCAGGTAGGGGCAGTTGGAGGGGTTTCCAGCAGCTAAGGGTGACAAATTTTATCTGTCGGTTTGTCCTACTGTGGTGATGTGTTGCTGTGAGTCTTGAGGCTGTGCCACTGGTGTTTCAA